ACAACAACAACAACAACAACAACAACAACAACAACAACAACAACAACAACAACAACAACAACAACAACAACAACAACAACAACAACAACAACAACAGCAACAGCAGCACCCCCAACACACACACTCATACCCAGCCTACTCACAGCACCACCTACCCCCAACCCTATCCCCAGCGCCCTACAGCTGGGCAAACTCAGGCGCTGGAGGCGGCGGAAGTGGTAGTGGTGGAAGCGGAGCAGGAGGAGCAGGAGCAGCAGGAGGAGGAGGTGGTGGAAGTGGAGGAGTCGGATCCGCGACCATGCCAGCACCACAATATCAATACCCCATCCCATCGCCAAACAGCAACAGCCATTGGGATTCGTCTCCGGGCGCGGAACTCAGGCCGCAATTTCCTGGGCCTATGGGTTAAGTTGGCTGGGAGCTGGGGATGGGAAGGAGGGGAGAGGGGAGAAAGGGGGAAGGGGGTTGGGGAGAAGGAGTTTGTTGTAAGACAGATGACAGATGACAGATGACAGAGATACAGACAGATAGTTTGGGGCGATATATATATATACCATAATGTTTTGTTTTTGTGTGTGTTGTATGTTGTGTGTGTGTGTGTTGTAATTATGTTGTGTGTCGTGTGCCTCTTTTTATATCTGACGGCGGCCATGTGATCTTTTGCTATTAGCGCGTATACGAGAGATATATACACACACACAAGGATCAAACCCCTTTTATTTGATTTTTGGTGTTATCTTCTTCGGCGGCGAGGCTAGTCCTATGCAACAGCTCTCCCTCTTCTTTTCTTCTCTGCTTTTCTCTTCTTCTTTTCTTCTCTTCTTCTCTCTTCCCCTCTTTACTCTACTCTTCTCCCCCAACCCGATTCCATAATACCCCCCTTCCTCCATCCTCCATCCTCCGTCCTCCATCCTCCGTCCTCCATCCTCCGTCCTCCATCCTCCGTCCTCCATCCTCCGTCCTCCATCCTCCGTCCTCCATCCTCCATCCTCTACCCCCAACCCAGCTAGGTATCACTCGTCAACCGCAAACAGGCATCCACCGCAAGCCCCACCCGGCCCTGCTTCTCCCGCACCACATCGTCAATGACCTCGCGGTCCAGACTCGGAAACATGCCCGCCAGCGTTTCCACCACCGTCCTGTGCTCCTTGACCTGCAGCTTGCGCGCTTCCTCCGTCTCCGCAGACGCCTGGCGTGCTGCTGCGTCTTCGGCGCTCAGGCGCTGCATTTGCTGGGCTTGGCCTCCTGGTGGCTTGTGCTGTTGCTGCTGTTGCTGCTGTTGCTGCGTCGGTCTTCCTTCCGTTGAGCCCCGCTGCGGGGTATGATGATGTTGTTGTTGTTGTTGCTGTTGTTGCTGTTGTTGCTGTTGTTGCGTCTGTGCAGGGTTGGGTGAAAGGCGTGCCGGCGTGGCAGGCTGTGGCGTGAGCGCCGGGTGCGGGCTCTGATGCGAAGTCGAGGGGGGTGTATCGTCGCCGAAGATGCGCCCGATTGTGCTGAGCGGGCTGCGAATTGTTCGAAGTAGACCAGAAACCGCATCCGCCTCGTCGTCTCCACTGCCGCTCTCCTTCTCGTTTGGCCTCGTCGCTGGTGCCTGGCTTAGCTGTGCAGCGGCTTGCCCTTGGCCGCGCGTGCTCGCTCTCCTGCGCGACGGGGGCACCTGCTCGGCGTCCAAGCTGTTTCTGGGCGTGACTTCGGCACGAGCTAGCGCGCTTTTCTCGGGGAGGTGCATGTGCGGGCTGGGACGGCGCTGGTGACCGGGGCCGCCGCGCTGGGAGCCGGTGGATGAGGAGCTCGGCGCTCGAGTGGGCTCACTGGCGGACTCCTCGGAGGCACGGTGGCGCTCAGCAATGGCGGAGACAGCCGCTTCGACATTTGCTTCGAAGTCGGCGTCGGAGATGGTGAGGGATGTGCGGTCGAGGTTTTCAATGAATTGGACGGCGCCCATCTACATACAAGGCGTTGGTGAGTTATAGTGAACAGGACAAACGGGTTTTGGGAGACATTACAAGGGAAGACATATAATAGCCCGCTTCACCGTTGAGCTTGTCCTGGTTTCGGAAGCGGAGGATATATTGGACGTTCGAAACAAGATGTTCTGGATTAGCTTGGAGGACGGTGTAGATGAGCAGAGGAACAAAGGAGTCCGCCGATGTGTCGGTTTGCTGGTTTCTGAGAAATCCTACGACTCTATTAGTGGCAATAGATGATGTTCAACGGTACACCTTACCAAAGATCACTTTACAGCAGTTCAGGACGCAGATCACTTTATCGCGCGGCGCCCGGTAACTCCTTATTTTGAGCAGCTCTTGTGCAGTGGTCAGCAACGGACAGACTATGCAAGATTCAAGCTCGTACCTTGTTGGGCTAGCTGAAGGAATTTCCGGCCTTTCTCTCCAATCGTGGGAATGTCTAAATGCTCCTCGTTCACCCATTGGTATATGCGTACTTTCTGTGACAGGACCTCGTCCCTTTCTACATCTTCCTGGTGCTGACCCTTCCGTCCTGGTGCTTCGGAATTCTGTGTGGCTCGCCGCCGACCGTTCAAGGACGGTTCGGGTGGTGGTATTGCCGGCGAGAAAGTCTGAGTGTACAGTCTGTTCATGACGAGCTTTTCCATACCCTCCTTTGCGTTCTCGAATTCAGCATCTGATACCACTCTCCACACTTCACACTGCGCCATCTTCTTGCTTATGAACTCCAAAAAGTCGCTAATGATCTTGACTTGTTCGTGTACCATCCATTGCTTCTTCCCGAATTCTAAAAGAAACGAACGCAGGAATCTGGCAACGGGATCTGCGGTACGATGTCGGAGTTGTTCGAGAAACCTGTGGAAGTCGAAGGGTAGATCTGGTTCTGGGTCAGGGGGAGGAGGCTTGAAAACGGGATTTTGCGAATTAGAAGATACTGCAGGGTCAGACGCTTGTGTGTTTTCCTTCGATAAGGGGGTTAGGGTCAGAGATGACGACCTAGGGGGTGGTGACTGTAAGGGTTCTGTCCCGGACACATTCTTGTCGCGGAGGTGAGCTAGGGCTTCGCTTTGCAAAGGCTCGAGGCTAGATTTCCGGGGAGGATTTGACACTGGCGAGCCAAAGTTGGGGCCAGCCGCAAGTCGAGGTGACATTATTTCTTCTACGCCAGGGCCATTCATTCCCTCGCCAAACTGGTCCATTATGCTCTGTATCTCCGACTTTGAATCGTCTTGCTCCGCTTCGTCCTTCTCTTGGTGTCCCAGCTCGTCATTTTCGTCTCCTCGCGCAACACCCTTGCCGTGGGTATCTAGTGGAGAGGTTTTGGAAGGGGATGCGCTTCGATCACGGTATTTTTCGTCCTTGGGGGGAGGCGGTGGTGGAGAAGGTGATGCTACGGGGGGCTTCACATCTTGAGCAATGCCATCACTTGAGGGCTCTACACTCGCGGACGCATCCTTGGGTCGAAAGACCAAAGTCATCTGCTGCGGCCTCGTGCCTTGCGTATTCTGACTGACATTTCCAGCCATGTCTGTGGACGCCTTCTCCTCATTGCTCAAGACTTCTTGAACTTCTACGGCAGCATCCGAGGCTCCTTCTTGCAGCTTTCTATCAGGAGTAGTGACATCATTGTGTGTCTCGTGCTCTGTGTGGTCGAGACGGCCGTGTGTCTCTTGGGCCGTGTCGCCGCTTGTTGAAGACACTGGAGGTGGAACAGGATTGGTATCGTCTTTGATGGCTGTGTCCCTGTCTTTGGACGGAGTAGACAGCTTCTGACCCTCAGGGGATGTACTAGCTGGAGGGGGAGACGAAGACATAGGCGGTGGACATGGGGAATCTGGATAGACGTCAAGAGCTGGGCGATGTTGAACTCAGGTAAATGGCAAGCGAAGAGTGTGATTGAAGCAGAGGATCACGACGGTATAGCAGGCCAGTTGATAAGAAAGAATCGCAGCGCAGAGTGAGGATTGTTGTGAGAGGAAGCTCACGACCGACAAATGTTGAAGCATTGCACTGCAGCATAGAAGCAGGTTCCCCACTTGTTTTGTGCTCACGGGTCTCAAAGCCACGCCACGAGTTCACGAGCGAGCATGGAAGTGATATTACTCTACACCACGCCAAGCTGACACGTATCTCTCTGAGATAGGACATTCGATTGATCATCTCTAGTATCAGGTTCAATCAGCTCGATACTAGGCATTGTGATTTGTATAGATCAGCATAAAACAGACTATAAGTTGTACCGCCACTTTGCTGCCTCAGGACTTCTACAGGGATCCGTGGGTGACAGGCCGAGGTCGGTGCAAAGCTACCGTATTTCTAGGCATAGGTGCGTAAATTCTGAACCGTCTCCCATCCATGCTAATCGTCCACTGTCACTTTAGCATCAATAAACATAGGAAATCGTGACGACGACAGAAAGAAGTAGCCGTTACACAGCCCTGGCTCTCAGAATCAATAGTGTTAATCACGATTCAGAAAGAGTGTTAAGACGGAGCGAATATATCAGGTGTATTGCTAGTCATCAATAAACTAGATACGAGATGTGTTCTTCTTCTTGATATACAATACATTTTCCTCCAACGCCGTTTCCGATGGTACGGTATCCTGTGGTATATAGATAGAAGCAAGATTCTAATGATAAATGGGCATCATGTATCCAAATCTCCAAAACATAGCAAAACAGCCGATTTTGATGACCTTCAGACTTGGTCGGCAGATCTCTCATTAGCCAGCTGGTTGAGCCTTTGCTGGACGTAACTGTGTTGCCTGGAACCCATCTCCTGTCTTTTCTCAGAGCCAGTGGCCTGTGCGGCACCCTGACCCGCGAAGCTGGCCGAACGAGATGCGTGGCGCGAGCCATGGCGAGAGGTGTATCCATAGACGTTGGAGCCACGGCGAGAGCTTGTGTCTTTGGCTTGGGATGCCAGCTTCTGGGCAAAGGGCGAGCGCTTGCGGAGCACGGGTCCCTTCCAGTAGATGACGTACACGGCGACGACGAGGAGCGCAGAGATAGCACAGAGGATGGTCGAGGCGTATGCAAGATGGTATCGGCCACCGATATTCTGGTAGAATGGAGTGGCAGGAATGGTGAGCACACCAGCGAGGAAGTCACGCGACCAGCCATTTCCACCAGTGGCAGATGCCGAGTATGGACCGTATGCGCAGATCATGTAGTCGATGGTAGCCATGTAAATCGAGTAGTTTGCAATTCCGATGATAGCTGTGAAGATGGTAGGAGCAATCCAGTGAATCGGAGGACCAGTGGCTGTCCATGCGAAACCGATCAGACCGATGGGAAGACAGGGAGCAGTCCATAAGAGGAACCACAGGCGGGACTCGTATTGCGCTTGCTCGTCGTCGGGTTTGCGAGCGCGCTCTTTGATATTACGTTTGATGGCAGGAATAAAGGCTAGCCAAGCAAAGAGATAGCCTACGCCGTAGCCAACAAAGGTGAGACCGACTTGCGAAGGAGTAAAGTCGTACTGGGCGTAGACGAGGCCTTGAGCCTGGATGTTCATAAAGATGAGAGCGTCAGAGAAGCCAGACAAGAGCGACAGAGTCAAGACGATGGGCTCGGTCAAGAACATCTTGAAGGGACGAATCCAGGTAACGGCAATCTCCTTGGCCGAGAAACGATCTTTCCACGGGATGAGCTCGTTTGGGCCGTACACGTTGGGATCCTGGCCAGTCTTGCGCATCTTCTTTGCAATCTTGTCCATCATGATGGTAGTCCTGGTCTCGGGGACGGCGATGAGATGGAGGATTTGAACGAAGCCGCCGAAGATGAGCTGAATCCAGATGGTCCAGCGCCAATCGGCCACATACTGCTCAACGAAACCACCGACAATGGGCCCAAGAATGGAGCCACCGACGGAGGAGAAGACAATGTATGCGACGGCGTACTGTTGATGCTCCGAGTCAAACATGTCGGCAATCATGCCCAGGGTGACGGAACCACCGGCAGAGCTGAGACCACCAAGCGCACGACCGACAAGTAGAGTGGCAAAATTGGGGGCCAGCGCAACAGGAATACACCAGATGTTGACGAGGAACAGAGAGAGCTGGAGAATTGGCTTCCGACCGAGTTCCTCACTCCAGGGAGCCCAGAGCTCGCAGCCAAAAGCATAGGTAACCAAGAAGATCATAGCACCAGTACGAGCACCCTGGGCGCTGACGCCAAACTCCTCTTCAATGCCTCCCAAACCATTGGAGTACAGGGAGGTGTTGAAGTTCATGGAGGTCTGGACGACGAAGATGACGGTCAAGATGGTCCATTTCTTCCATTCGGGAAAGTCGAAGCCGAGTTTTCCGGCGCACTCATCTTCGGTGATTTCTCTGTTTCCAGCAACCAGATCGGTTTTTGGGACTTGTTCTTTCAAGACCTGCTGGGCAGGTTGGCTGGGAGGAGTGATGTCAGACTTCTTCTCATTGTGGTCGGAATGACTGTCAGGCGAAGAGGACGTAGGGCCTTGGAAGTGCGCATGTGTGTGAGACATGACGGTAGATGGACAATGAGGCTTATACAAACACCACACTGTCTACCGGGGGGTACAAGGGAGTCGAGAAGAAGAAGGGGGGGGAAGAGGTTGGACGAAAGGCAGACAGAAGTGCGGAGAGGCACGGGGGAATCGGGCAATACTTAAATAGAATGGAGGTACACGGGCATGATGCAACAGAGGAGGGAGGGGGAGGGAGGCGGAAGTGGAGGAAGAGGAGGTGAGTGGTTGGGGCGAAGTTTGAGTAAGTGAGTAAGTGTGTTATGGGTGTGAGTGTGTGTGTGTGTGTGTGTGTATACTAGCTAGCGTGTTGTTGTGTGCAGGTGAGGGCGGAAGGAAGGAGCGATGACATAGTGGACGGGTGCGGTGCTGCATCAGCGCGGACGGGACCCACGTTTTGGTAATAATTGGTCGAGTTTTCGGTCTCCAGGCGTCGCTCTCCCATACAGTTTCGGTGTTCAGTCTACAGTCAGGCCACAGCTGCACGCTCCGGCCCGGGTAAGTATTAATTAGGCACGATCATGCTAGTGGCGATGATACAGATGAGGATGGATAGGTATTGGGGATGATGCAAGTTGAGGATGTGGAGATGGTGGAGGTGGAGAAGTTAAGCCGGCGATTGAATGCTGCGCCGTGCCATCCATCCCTGATTCAGCCCCCCCTCCCCCAAAAAAAAGTATTCAGCACTCAGCACTCAAAAGACAGACAGAGAGGCAGCATGTATTGCAGATTTTCATATTGCAAGCTGACATGGCAGCGGCCGGTACCCCAAACTGTTCGGGTTGCATGAGCCAAAAAGCGACATATGCTAGGCTGGGGTGCATATATTCACGCAGATATTCACGCATCTCCAGTCATAGGATGGTTGGTCGACTCCTCATTGTTCCAGACATTTCATCGACAAGACGTCTCGTAGAATTAGAATGGAATCATGAAACAAACAACATGTCACCAAAGTGATACTTCAAGTATAAATAGTAGATGGTCATTAGCTAATATCAAGACACGAGCAAGCCAAAAAGGGAAAGAGAAGGAGCGAAACAAAGTGAAGAAAAATGTGTAAAGGTCGCATGCCGGACGGAAGTAGCGTGTTAGTGTTGTTTATTGTGCACGGACCACTCTCCCATCCATCCTTCCTTCCTTTCTGCCCCATTACGTCAATCATCCCTCTCCTGCCGTCTCTCACCCAGCGTTCTTTCCTCTTTCCTCTTTTCTCTTTCCTGTTTCCCTGTTTTTTTCCTGTTTCCTCTTTTCTCCCCAATCGCGATCGCCCGAAGCCGCCCGCGTCACATGACCAGCCTGACTCCACTTGTCCGACTTACCACCTTTAGCTCCCGTCCGATCTTCAGCCATCGTCAACTTCCCCAACCCACTGCATCATCATCACAACAAACGACGCATTCAATCTACACACTCGTACTACCACTATACGCTTCCTTGGATCGCTCATAGCCTGCAGCCATTTAATTATGTCGGCTGTTCTGATGCGCGACTTTGAAGCACCACTCAATCAGCCGTTAGCGAACCACCATGTCGTCTCAACCGCATGCATCCATCCATCCATTCGCCTTACACGACGACGCCAAAGACCTCAACACGCTGGCTTTCTTCTATATTCCCGCACTACTCAACAGACTCTCTCGCAACACACTTCTTCTTCCCTGCACCCTGCCAGCGCTGTCTGCAGGCTTCAAATAACTATGATAGAAGACAGAATACAGAAAAGCCAACGTCAACACAAGCTCCACAAGCTCCACACTTCTCCCCCTGTAAATGTCACTCCCAACCTCCGTTGCCCAGCATGCAGCACCCCGACCATTCAACGGCCGCTACTCACGCTAAATCGCGCGAAATAAAAAAGAAGTAACATGGCGGATCGCTGTTCAGGCTCGAGTTTTGCTGTCCGGTCTCCACCTCCAACTGTATACTACAGTTAGTACTGATTGATCAGGTGCCGGCCAGCCACCAACGTGCGCCTGCTCATGTCTGCCAAGCCGCCGAGTCCTGTCGTGACTGATATTCCGTGCATGACAAGACTGCTTCTATACAGCTAGCTATGGCTATATCTTGCATTCCACTGAATACGAACTCGACGTCTTCTATCGTATCTTAGTATCATCTATCATCTACACCACCATTACCATTATCGTCGCAGTCCGACATCCACTCGAGTAATCCATGATCCCTCGTCGAAAAGTACATATATCGCACTCTCCAAGATCTAGAACCTAGAACCTGCTCATCTTTGACCTCTCCACAGCTACTGCTGCTGCCACAGCACTGACTGTCTGAAACACCTACTATGATACATACTCCCAATGCATCCCCCCGGTCCCTGATCCCTACACATACACAGACGATCCTCCTCCCACCTGAAACGAAACATGACATTTTTTTCTTTCTTTTTTTCTTCTTGTTCTTCTTTCTTCTATACATACATACTTGCATACACTAAACTCCACTCCACTCCACTCCACTCCATAGACGACGACTTTAGACTACCCCACCTCGTAGAAACCAGAAGAACCTACAGCGAAGAATTCGAATGTACGTACTACTGTAGTGGTTACTATATGTACATTACTAACAATGCTCCCGGAGATGAGGATGAGTCTGCTCAGCAGCCTAGGTAAATTACAATTATAGTATCGAATTTAAAAATATCTCGGTACGGGAGATAGACTATTGTTGTCGCTAGCTAGCCTATGCCTGGTGTAGTGTGGCTGGCAGGTCTAAGGGCTACCAGTTACCTAGGTCCATCCATCCCCGAGCGACTCCCGAGGCCCGGTCGGACTCCCGAGGTCGCTCCGTTGCTTGGATCCTTGACTGGATGGCTTGAGGTGGTGGTGGATCATTAGGGCCCGGGCACCTTCTAGTAATTATAGTAGGACACTTGTCCGGAGTTCAACCGGCTGTTCATTCAACTCCGGAGCTTGGGGAGTAATTATGTACTGTTGATGTCCCCTACCTAGGTAGGTAATTAGACTAATAATGTGCCTGGTACTACGTATCGGATGTAATTTAATTAATTAATTAGGTAGTTCTAATCTATTACCGCAGCTAACTCCGTTTCTTGTCGCTACGGCTTCTTTAATCTTCGTTAGACTTGAGGTGTCTTTGTTTCTAGTAGGATGCGTCTTGCTACGACTTGATCTTATCATGGACTTTTAAAAGGCAGAGATGCTCGTGTACGAGTTCTCGTTTCTGCCTGGCTTCGACTTGACTCGTGCCTGACTTTCCGCCTAACTTCGACCTGAATCCAGGCAAATATCGCTCATTACGTGAATATACTCACGTGTATACATACACCCATACAACGTTCTCTAATCACTCTTGATGCTACTTACTAATTACTATATTCGACACTCCAACTTACTCATTCACTCTCGCGTCGTAGGTCAGAAATGAAGGCCTTTCAACTTCAGTCCAGCTAGAAGTGCAGGCTTAGATCCGACCGTTTGATAACTCATTCTATATCGCCCTCTGTCACGCTTTTCATAGAGCGAAAGAGTCATTTGGTTCTTGACTTGTGTGTGACTTTATGTGTTATGTGTTATGTGTTGTTGTCGCTTCCTACCTATTAGGTAGTCTAGTGCTGGTATACCCGTCGTGTGATGCCTTAAGTAGACGAGTATCATGTCAAAGTCATCGACGTGGTCTGGCGTAGTGTGGAAAGAGGTAGGGAGTATCCATCTGTTGTTGTTGATGGTTGTTGCTCCTTCCTTGTTGTTCCTTCCTTGTTGTTCCTTCCTTGTTGTTCCTTCCTTGTTGCTCCTTCCTTGTTGTTCCTTCCTTGTTGTTCCTTCCCTGTTGTTCCCTGGTGGCTCGCTACTTCGACCTTGCGCACAAGTCAACCAAGACACAAGAACTCCAACAATATTGATTTATTTTCTTGTCCAATTCTTTTTTTTTTCTCCCTTTCTTTCTATAGTATTTAATTCATTTTTGGGGGTCTATCTTTTTTCGAGTCGCCATTTTTTGCTGCATTACTACCATTCTTTCTCATTCGTTCTCATTCTTTCTCAACACATACCCACACTCGCGTTTGCAACCTGGTGACGACGGTCATACCTCTCGTGGAGACGGGATCTGGGATACCGCGAGGTGACGTGCCTCGGGAGAGTTCTTGAGATCGGTTGTATACGTATAGAGTAAAGTCTTGCTGACGAGATCCATCATATACTCAGTCACCTGCCTGTCGACCACAAAACCACTCCCCCCGATTCCATCTCCTCCAGACCATGGAGTCCGACTCCGGCTCTGACCTCGGCGACAACACACCAAACGCCGCACGCTGGTTCCTCCTCCGCACGCCGACCGTCCCCTCGATCCCAGACGAAGCGTGTAACATCTGCCTTCGCCCCTTCGACCCCACAAACGCCGCCCACGAACGGCCCGTCGTGACGGCGTGCGGCCACAGATTCGGCAGGGACTGTCTGGCTGTCTGGCTGTCCACGCCCTGTCCTGGGTCTGCGTCTGAGAAGCGCTTCTCGGACTCGTGCCCGTGCTGTCGCGCCGTGCTCTTTGCCCAGAACGACGCCTTCTCCCTGCTTTCGCCGCCGCCGTCGTGGCATGTCAGGTTCATTATCGAGCAAGCGCTACGGGATTTTGAGGAGGTTGAGGCGAGATTGGTGGAGATGGTGATGCGGGGGGGTCATCATGTTTAGCAGGCTGACGGGTTTGTTAATTTTCAATGATCGATTTGAGGTGTTAGGAGGATGCTTGGTGATTGTCTGCTTGACGATCGTCTGCTGTCCGGGAAGGTCGATGGAATGCAAGGTGTTTGGGTCTTACTTTTTGCTTTAAACTTCTTCCAGGCGAAGACTGCATGGCCTACGTAGCGGAGTGTGGTATATTACTGTCTCAACTCATTCAGTTCCACCCTGTTAGCTTCTTTATCCTATCACCAATCGTTGCTTGCCCTGCCGCTTCTCGTGCGTGCCTGCTCTCCGATTCCGCCTTCTGCACAGCAATGAGCTCGTGGCTCAGAGCTCGTGCCGCTTCCATCTCCCCTCGCAGGGCTTCCACTTCCAATTCTCGCTCCACGCCCGCCAAGCCCTGCAGCCTTTGCTTGTAGCTTATCATTCGATCCTTTGGTAACGTCTTCCACTCATACTCGGTTAAATCTGCATCATCACTCTTCTCCAATGGCTTCGCCTGGCCGAGCGCAATTCTCTTCATTCGCGAGTTCGCAATAACCGGTGGAAATTCGGGGATAGGCAGTCCCTTCTCCTTGGCTTCCTCGACGGCCTTCTCCTGCTCCAGCATGTTCCGGTACAGTCGATCGGCGTGTATCTGTATATCCTCCATCCTCTCCACAGTACGACCTTGCGGGTTGATATATCCCAACGCCTTCATCATCTTGCCCTGCGTCAGAAAACACCTATTGAGCACCGCCGATTCCTTGCTGCACATGGTGAACTTGTCCTTGAAGCCGCCGCTCTTCAGGCACTCCGACTGCGCCAGCCACTCGAAGATGCAGTTCTCCTGCGCCGCCCGGTTCAGCTGTGTCTCGCGCATCGTGTACCCGTCCACGAGCTCAGCGAGCTGCTCCTGGTCCGTCTTGCCCGTTGCTTCAATTACAGACAGGGGTGTGTAGCCTTTCCAGAGATGGGCGTAGCGCCCGTCTTGGTAGAGGGATTCCGCGGGTACTAGGGGTTTCTTCTCGTCGTCATGGTGTTCTTTGGGCGCAGGCGTGGGCTCGACGACGGGTGGTGGTGCTGTTTTGGGTTGCTCGAACTTCTTGGGTGCTTCGGTCTGGAGGAAGTCTTTTAAGGATGGATCGAGGTTTTTTACTACGTCGTTGTTGTTGCTGTCCTGCGTCTTGTTCCAGAACCATCCCATTTCGAGGCTTAGATGAGGCAATGGCGGCGAGGTAAGATTAATTTGAACCGGATGGAGGTGCGCAGGGGATGTTAGCAAGCAAAGACAAAGCTTGAGCTATCCATACAATCTGTGCAGGTCGTGGATCGCTATCACGCTAGTCCTATTTAGGTCTGCTGTAGATCCCGGCGCGTCTCTCGACACGCGACGTATTCCCCAAACGCCATTCCACCAGTCTCACCGTCTCGCGCATCAATGTCCGATGGCACCGAATGGTGAGCAAAGTACTACCCTTCAAGACCAGCACAGCGAACTGACTCTGCCGAAATAGATCGCGCCGAAAGGCGTCAGATGCGCCAGCGTGGGGCCGGGTGTGTTAATACCTTAACTACAACCTACATGCGTTTACGTAGAGCTGACCTTCAACCAGGGTAACGAACGTCCAGAATATCAACTTCGGATTCAAGATCGGAGGAGGCGCCCTTCAGCCCAGACGCTCCGGTCGCCCGTCGCCTCTGCCCGCACAACGATCTGCCCGTTCCACGCCGAATCGACTCCCGCCCCAGCTGTCCGGTCGCAGTAGGCAGACAAGCACGCCAGCGCAGACGTCACACCAAGCCCATCACACGGGTAGCAGATCGTCAAAGACTTCCGCCGCGGCGAAGAAGACTCCCAAGCAACCTAGCTTGGGGAACAAGGCCCCGCACAGCCAGCAACAGTTCACGACACCTACAGTTATCGGCAAGCGCAAGAGGCCGCAAAGTGCGACAGTACAAGAAGACTCCGAACATGACGAACTGGAAGCAGATGACCCGGCACATCGGACATCCACAGGGCGATCACACGTGTCTATCCTACCGTCAATAACGGAGCGACCTCCCGAGCCCGCAGACGACGCGGAAGACGACTTGGCAGAGGCCAACAACGGGCCCGGCGCGTCCAGCGTGCATAGCAATAGGATGGGCGTCGCGGCTGCGCAACGGCGGAGAAGCCAGGGTCGACAGTCGTACGGGTCACTCAATCTGCGAGCCAAAGGCCGGACACCGAAGAGGCGTGAGAGTGTGGCAACGTGGCTGATAGATCAGTCGCGTCTCACGCCGGTGCCGCCGGCGGTTCCGCCGAGTGTGCTGAAGAGTAGGACGTCATTGAGGACTCCTATCGTGCGTAAGAGCTTGGGCAGGCCCAAGACTAGTACTAGCACTGGGAAGCAGCCGAAGAGAACGAGCGCAGCGGCTACTGTGGAAGCGGAAGAGGAACAGGGGGATGAGGGCGGCGAAGAGCTGGACGAGGACCACCAAGAAGGAGAGGAAGTCGTGGATGAGTTGTCTACGGAGCTGAGCAACAGATCTGTACGCAAGTCGCATAAATCGCAGCAGAAGACACGAAAGGAAATACCTACCGAAGAAGACGAGGAGAGTGAAGACGAACTATCCCCAGAAGCACGGCGTCCGAAGTCTGGCCGCGATCCGAGATTCCAAGTCGAGTCTGGAGACGAAGCGTCAGACTACGAAGGAGAGCAATCCGTTCGCTCAGAGCTACGAGTCCCAGTGCGAGAGAAGCGTTTGACCAAGGCAGCTCGTCCAAGGCAAAAGCAGAAGGCGAAAGCTCATTCAGGAGAGACGGAAGAGCCCGGAGCAAGGCAGAAAAAAGCCAAAGGGGAAACCGTGCCCATCACAGTCTATCGCCTTGCAAACGCATCCCAGCTGGGCGGACAAGGGGAAGATGACGGCGATCCACTGCAGAACCCCAATCTAGCCTCAATATCCGGCGTCAATGCCGTCGACGTCCTGTTCCAGATCACAAGCGAGCTAGCAGACCGGCAGCAAAACTCCATCACTCGCCACCTCCAGCTCTCCACCGATGAGCGTCAACGCAGCGAACTGAAGCGCAAACGCACCATGCTAGACATGTTCAAAGCCCAGCTCTCAGACCGCCTGTTCGAGCTCACAGACGCCATCAACACCGGCACCGTGCTGCGAAAGCGTCTCAAAGCAGCGTTGAAGAAGCGCGTCGCCCTCACAGACGAGCTCCTGTCCGTCCGAAAGCAGCGCGAGGACCGCCAGTTGGCAATGGACGCTACCAGAGACCGCCACGAGGCCAGCGTGCACGTGTACGAGAAACAGAGCTCGCTGAACTCCGCGCTGCATGATATCGAGCTTGCGGTCAGCCGCGGCAGGCTGGCGGCAAAGGATCAAGGCAGGGAGGCCGAAGGGCCGCGGATTCCGCTGGAGATGCTCCTGCGGACTGTGGCTGGGCAGGTATCTTCACGGGTTCCTGGAGGGGGCGTGACGGACCGGGCAAAGGCGCTGAATGTTGTGCTGGAAGACACGGCGAAGGTGTTGGAGGGCAGGAGAAGGTGATGATGACGGTTGATGACGACGGAGACTTCGCGGCGTTGTGGCTTTGTATTCGTATTTATATATATATATACCCCTATGAATTCGTCACTATCATTGTCATTTGCTGGGACAAATGGCCGTTAGTTATATGAGATACATCCTCCTCCCTAGGGTAGTCATCGTCCTTCCATACCACGTTCTCCTGGCCATGTAGTCCTCCCATCCCATCCCATCCCATCCCATCCCCAAACCCCCTCAACCACCCCCATCCTTCAACCCATCATACAACGCCTTCTCCACCCCCAACCACGCATGCGCCACAGCAGGCACCCCAAACGGCGCCACCTGCCCCGCAATAAAATGCGCAACCCCCTTCTCCCGATCCGCCACCCAAAACAAATTCGCCACCCCAACCCAAAACACACTCCCGGCACTCCGCCCCGTAAACACCCCCTCCTCCGTAATCATCCCACACAATCCCCACCCTTGCGCCGGCCTCCCCGGCTGCGGAAACATCTCCGCATTACTCAGCGTGACGTGCTCCTTTGCCGAAGCCGCCAGGCCGCGCGCGAAATCCGGCTTGTCCGGGATCTGGTTCGTCCATATCTCGTGGATGGAGGCCGGGCTGAGGAGTCGTGTGCCGCTGGGTGCGTGCACGCCGTCGTTGATGAGCACGGTGAGGATTTGGGCGAAGGCGAGGGGTTTGGCGTAGAGGCCGCTGCCGCCGGCTTGGAAGAGGGTGGCGCGGCGCGCGGGGGTGTGGGCGGTGAGGGCGCGGCGGGCGGTGTGGTCGACTTCTTCGGCGGTGCCGTCTTTCCAGTGCTGTGTCATGCGGGCGAAGTTTGTTTGCTGCGCGGGGGTCGGGAAGAAGGTTATGTCTTTGAGGCCGAGGGGCGTGAAGATGTGGGTTTCGAAGTAGTCGGATAGGGAGAGGCCCGTGGCGCGGGAGATGAGCTCGCCGACCCAGTCTATGTTGGGCTGGTGGGGGGGTTAGTTGTGGTGGTGGTGGTGATGTATTTCGAGATTGGGGATTTGGGCGGGAAAAGGGGGGAGGTCGCAACGTACACCGTATTCCCAGCGCTCGCCGGGTTGGTTGACAAGCGGCGTGCCGAGAAAGTCGTTCGCGTCGGCGCTGAGCTCATCGATGCCGGCCGGACGCGCCCAGAGCGTCAGCTTCCGGTTCAGAAAGCTGTATCCGAAGCCGGCGGTGTGGGTGAGGAGTCTGCGGAGGGTGATTTCGGCGGTGCGCTCGGCGAGCGTTCCGTCGTCCATGAGCACCTTCTTCTCCTTCAGCTCGGGACAGAGGGCGTAGACGGCCTCGTGGTCGTCGAGCGCGAGCTTGCCCTGCTCGACGAGCTGCATTGCTGCGATTGCCGTGACCATCTTCGTGCACGAGGCGATCCAGAACATGGTGTCGAGGTCGACGGGGCGTTTGTCTTCTAGGCCGCGCGTGCCGGATGTTTCGGCGATGAGGTTCTTGCCATTGCGGTCGACGGCGACAAAGGCCAGGGCTGGTATGCCGGCTTTCTTGTTCGAGGTGGTGCCGTTGAGGATAGCCTTGATGTTGGCAACCGATTGCGCCGACAGAGCCATATTTGAAGAGAGGGGGGAGGGCCGGGACGGAACGAACGGGAGAATGCAAAGTGTTGGTTTGGGCAAATTCGCACAAGCAGCTTCTGAACGACAACTATTTATACAACAAAACACAACATGGTATCGTAGCTCACCCGCGCTGTTGTTGGCCCCAAAGGTCTAGAATCTTTAGTATCAGAAACACGGCAGCAATGCAAGTGTGATGATAGAGTGACAAGGGGTTGACTAGGGCGGTCCGTTACCACCAAAAGTGCGAAAGCCAAAACAATCTCAGAGCCTCATAACGCGCGCCTCGCCGCGCCATTGATAGAGAGTCGGCGAATAAAAGTGTTATATTAGGCGATTTATGTCTTGATATAACCGCGTAGGTATAAATAGCCTAGTCTAGCGAACTTGACACCCAGGCTGATACTATGTGCGGAAGCATATCATAATAAAACTTACCACGTTTCCAGTGCTGATCTCTCCCTGTCGCTATACCACGACTGGTGCATGTTTTAGCTAGACTGGGAGTAATTAATAGCGTTATAGTGAGTCCCCTAGTATGCGCTTCTTCTCAAGGGCTATATCACCTCCTGCTAAGGCTGAAGTCATGAACAAGATCAGCATAGATAGGGAGACAGTATTGTTTTCATTTCTGCACTTCTGCTACTAACCGACTGCCCTACGCCCTCGTCTCGACCCCTACCCCTACCCCGCTGCCGCTTTCCGCTGCCGCACTTTCACTGCTGCGCATTCGCTATTCGCTTGCGGTTATCATTTTCATCATCCGACAATCCTTCCATTTCGCTTACACAATAAAAGGCCGCATCAGGGTTGTGACTTTGGCTGATGTGCGCCAATAACACGCCTTTCATGACCGAGCTTAAGGTTGAGGCTAAGTCTCGTGGAGTGTTTCATCAGCCCTAATGGCCCCTATACCCGGCGGCATGGCCCGCCAAAGGACCACCGTGGCGTTGAACGTTTTCTGCTGTTCTGGGACGATAGAGACCTGAGGTCCTTTGTGCAATTGATCGTTGACCATGCGTTCAACATGCTCACCTCGTCTTGCGCTTCTGCAAAAGACTCATGACTTCCTTGATCCCAGCCATCAACAACGGTACAGCGACAGGCCCAAGTAGGGGCAGATAGACGGCGACTTTGTGCTCGTCCGGAAAATATACCATGCCGACCATAGAGCGTTCGAAGAATGCCTTTTCTGCTTCGGTTTCGGCAATGCGAGCGTGTTGCAGGGCAGAGTGGAATTGCCCTTTATGGAGAGCATCACAGGCCGAGCCCAAGTGCTGGATTGTGGCGTCAACCGATCCAGCCACACTATCAGGAATGGCAATGGATGACAGCTGTTGTGTCAATCTGGCCAAAGCTCCGAGAGTGGACGAAGCCGAGAACAAAAGCGATGCGGCGCGTACTCTTGTCAGAGTCGAAAGACGCAAGGGCAGAGAGGCGGGTGACTCTGGTAGGCCCAGTAAAGCCAGGAGCTGATTCGAGAAAGACAACATCGCTGGTCGTAAAGTGTCTTTCGACAAGGTTGTCGTCTTGTTTTGCCCAGATTCAGGGTTCAGAATTAATACACCTCCCCACTGAGGAATGAGCCAGCTATTCCCACCATTCTCCTTTACCTTTACAACGAGAGGACCCTGATCAGGAGATGGCACGTAGATCACGAAATTCACTGTCGGCCCCGCACCAATAGACGGGCTCAATGGCCATTCAGCAGCATTAATAAATCCGCTCAGGTCCTCTTTCCGCAGAGTCCATGCGTTCGCCTCTTCGTCGTATTCGGGTTGACGTATTGACGGGGAGATAGTTGCATAAAGTTGAACTTGGGTGTCAACCGTAAACTTGCTAATCGTAGACAACGCCTCCAGGAGTGGCTCTACGTACTCCTTCAACGCAGATTCAATGGCCCAGTCAGACGGTACGGCTGTAGGTGTGAACAGAGAGAACGTCAGATGATATGTTGGCGCATATTTAAAGGCCCTGGTAGACTGTCGAGCGAGAGCAGAAGCGCGTTCCGGCGAGAGGACTTGTGCCTTGCCACCATGCGTTGCTGTGTTGGACGTGAACGTATGGATTAGCATAGCCTGTTCTTCCTCAAATAGCACATGCAGTTCGTTTGCAAGAAAGGTGCCAAGCGGAGACGAAGTCGAGGATGCGGATGGCACTTGGTTTGGAGAATAGAAGATATCCACGGCCGCTTTGAAAGCCTGAAGCTCTGACCGTGGTGTTGGGCCCTCTGTGGCAGGCAGAAGTTTGACCCAAAGCGCCGTATCTTCGCCATCACCATCATAGGCTGAATCAATGCCCATCCGGCTTCCATCCCTGACAGTATGTGTGGTCCCGTTCGCTGTCGTGCTCGTTTCCGTGAGAACCAGGCGCAGGTGGTGAGCAGAAAACTCATTCAGATCATCGAGAGCATGCTGTGTGATACGGATGAGATGTTGCGCATCATGTAGCGGCATTGATGGTACATCTACGGCGATCCGTAGAGGGAAGACAGGCTTGCATATCTAGGCGCAAGGTCAGCACGTTGTTCCTTGTCCACTGAGCAATCAATAGGCACACCTTTCCGTCGGCCCATTCTTTCATTGTATCCAGCGGAAGAGTAGCCCGGTATATCGCTGTTGTTTTCCACCATATTGGAAGACCTAGGAATACGACAATCGACCAAAATGACAACACAACCCAGCGTCGAGTCCATACCGCGGCCGCGGTCTCCGGAGGAGGCTGTGTCGTCGCAAGGACAGCATTGATTACATTAACAGGCGAAGAATCTCCAGAGTCGACATGAGATGTCTGCGACGCGCCCTTCGCAGCGCGACTTGACATGATGCGTTCGGTCTTGTGTGCCCGAACTCAGAAGGACCAGGGGAAGTTGATGAACGGCCATGAATTAGGGGGGTTTTGCGGCCATCCATAAACCACGCTAGGCATATTTAGTAGACATCCATGCCGCTAAGGTCGTCTAACGTCCATGTTGTCTCGCAGTCATAATAGACACTACATCGTGTTGCAGCACCAGAATTTCGTTTGCACAATGCATATGATCCATGTGCTGTCTTTCTCCCGTCTACGTCGTCTATCTTCAGTTTGGCTCATTTCTGGCCTCGTAGTAAACTACCTTATCCCCCCGTAGGCTAAGTCTAGACTATACAGATCTGACTGGACCGGGGCACACTCTGGAAGAGTAACAGTACTGGACGAAGTACTCGGATAATACGCACGATAAGTACTGCGGCATTTGTTGTGGCCATACCACCTGGTACCATTCTTATATTGGTCGTGCGGACTAGCACTATCCGGCGTTGGACGGTAGAGCTTGGCTTCATGAGAAAGAGAGAGCAGGGAAGCGTAATCTAGGACGACTGATGAGCCGCTCTCGATAAGTTCTGTCTATCCAGAAGCATGTAAATTGTCTTACGGCAGTGAGTAGATTATGAACGAGATGCCTATACCGTACGACTCGCGTTCTATATTACACGAACCGGGTGAAGCATAGTGACGGGATACTCGGAAACATAATTGCAAAATTATCTTTGAGCCGCTACCGTGATAGACGAAGGATGTTGGATGCACTATTACATATTTGGAAGGGGAAGCACGACGTCCGATCGACAGTAAGGAAGTCTCCTGTTGTAAAGCTATACTCGAAACTGCACTTCTTCTACACATACATACTAAGATGCCCAAGTCGAATGTAAACATCAGTTTCAGCCCCGAAGAAATAAGACATACACATTTACCCCGCTCGTATCTTCCACACATCGACTTGTGGATGCCTACGCTAGCGCTTACACCTATACCACAAAGGGAAAGTGAAAACATGAGATTCTACTGGAAAAGCGCCATTGTCGGATCAATTGATAAGCCGGGCTTGAGCTGACAATAGATGAACCACTTGTCTGAAGTGTACTTCTTTCCCTTCTTTCCTACACAGCTGCATGATACAAACGGCTTAAATCCAAGGGAGAAAAGGCGAACAATCGCGAATCAGACAAAAGCACGGAATACACTTCGAGCCATCACCACGCCCACCTAGAACTTCCTACTCCATAAGCCCAACCACCAGGCCGAACAAAACAACAATGCCATTCACCCACCCACCACCATACCACGGCAGCTGCCCCTGCCGCACCATCCGCTACCGCCTCAACGCCACACCCCTAGTCTGCCATCTCTGCCACTGCACCAGCTGCCAGCAAGAATCCGGCACCGCATACTGCATCAACATCCTCATCGAAACCCGCAACGTCGAGCTCATCGACAACTCGCCCCCGCTGCTCAGCAACGACATCCCCACCGACTCGGGCGATCCGCAGACCCTGTTCCGCTGCCCGAAATGCTACTTTGTCCTCTGGAGCTACTATGCCTGGCCCGTGATGAGCATGGTCCGCGCCGGGACGCTGGACACGGCGGATCTGCGGCGGTTGACGCCCGATGTGGAGATCTATACGAAGAGTCGTCTGGCGTTTGTGCGGGTGGAGTGGGAGGGCAAGAGGGAGTTTGTGGAGAGTTATGAGCGCGAGCTGGTTTGGTGCGAGGAGAGTAATAGGCGACGGGACGTGTATCTGCCGGAGTTGCTGGCGTACAAGGAGAAGTTGGAGAGGGAGAAGCAAGAAGGGGGAGTGGTGGTGGAATGAGAGATTGTTGTAGAGTGTCGTTGGAGGCTATGTGTAGTGGAGTTTAGTCGGAGGTCAGTGTAGTATGTTACATGAATGAGATAATGAGAAAAAGAAGCTTGATAGCGAAATATAGCTTGAGACCAATTCTTTATACCTACTCGTCGCCATTCTACACAATTCAGACCTTCGGACAAGGCGAAATATAAAAGACAGTTGATATCTACAGTAGATGTTGATCAGTAACTTGACCACACGCAATCCAAAAACGCATACCTCCAGAGTCCCTAGGGCTTTGAAATGTACTACTATGCTCGACATCGAGCAAGTACTCACCACTACATGCTAATTCAAGCTTGCATGGTGAGGGAATGCAGATTGCAATACTCGTGGGGGTGAGAGGGGAATTATGTGCTCTCTTCCCTACCATATATAGGAGGACATTGTAAGTCTATATGTAAAAGGGTTTCGAAGTATGAATTGATTGCAAGAAATTGGTTAAAATATGAGAGGGTTTCAACTAGGCGTCTGGAAATGTAGTTGCCGTGTACAAGTTGAGGTAGCGTCACTCAGGCTCCTCGGATCTGATTCAATTGGCATGAGTTGCAGTAGATTCTACTTTCAGATGATCGCAATGCCAGACTTTAATTTGCGGGGTCCTGTCAGATAAGACAACGTAACGATCTGATACACGGATGAAAGAAGGGACAGTCAAGTAAAGGAACTAGACCTTTCCCATCAAAAGCGTACAAGTGACCAGATTTGGGGAGGAAACATTCAAATCAATGGACTCCTGACGTGTAGAAACGGCACGCGGGTCCGTATCAATTACATATAAATTGGACTGACAATATCTGGATGAATGAGTACCAATGCAATCATTGGTCGACATACGGAAGCTATGTTGGGTGGTCAGTATTCAACGCAGGGTGCACAGAGACTTATCATACATCGTGCTTCCACGTCAATAGTCTGAATTTTCTGGATGCTAATCTGAATAATTGGATGTGTGAGGTTGTACGGTCGTGTGAGCACGTTCCATCATGCCGAAAACCAATATATCGGGAGTCGATCGAATACGGCCTCAGGAGCTCCGTAATACCCAAGAATGGTTTTGAAGGAGTAGAAGACCGGGCGGGTAAAGAAATACATTAGAATTACAAGATGAAACCGAGTCTCCCGTCCTGAAAGAATTTTATTTCCCAACGCCGCGCAATGCATAAACACGGGATACACAGAAGGCGCAGCAAGCGAAATGTAGAAAGTCCAAAGAAGTCATGCACAGACACAACATTTATTAAAAAAAATGTTCGGCCATTCTCATGCCTGAGGAACAGGTTGGGTAAACCTGGCCAATTCGCGAATATTGTCCATGAAACACCGCACAATGTCCTCGTATCTGTTGGGTATATTTTCGCGAACACCATGGAACTCGTGCCGTAGCATGTTAGAGTTCAATTCGATCTCGGCTTCGTGGGTCTGCCTACCGTCGACCTGGTTGATTACTTGGGTAAGGTCTATTTCGCACGCCTGGTGGACATAACAAAGACGATCTTTCTTGCGACTAACCGGCCTCCCGGCTTCTGTACTAGCCACGAGCCCCTCTATGTCGCCCGGGTAATCGACTTCAATGTTGATACTTATGCGACAGTCGAAAATGCTATTTGGGAAGGTCATCTCGATGTTCTGCAGCCGAACTTTGATGATCTTTGCAAGGATCTCCCCAGTTTTGTTGTCACGGGTGACACGAACTTTGTTCGATTTCACATTGCTGTTGAGCAAGCTCCGCGAAAGAGGCGGGACCATGTTAAATCCAGCCTGGTCCAAGTCGTAGAAAGTATCAGTTTCCCGTCGATGGGTGTAGTCTATCCGATGTCGTCTGCTTTGAGGATTCACGCTGATTCTTGTTTGATCATTCAAGAAACGATTGAAGTTCTTGAAGTGAGTCTTGGTCGCATTATTAGCTTTGTTCGGTCCATACCTAGAAACGAAAGTGCTCTTACCTCTTGCATGTTGCTTTCAAACCGGATTCTTCGACTACTGTTGATAATTGCTTCATTGGCTATAGGCAAATAATACCTCTGATCCGTGTCATGATCGATGAGAGTTCCAAGTTTCGCTTCAATTTCTAGTTGCTCGCTAGGCGATAGCTTTGCATCCTTGTCTATCAGCAAATCGAATAGAGCGTCGCATAATCTTCTGGTAATCTCCTCGTAAGGCCGAGAATTGGTGAAACTTGGCTCGAGGTCCTCAATGTTTGTACGTTTAACCTGGTCAGCTTCACGCTGAGGAGTCCCATTCTGCTGTTGGGGCTGCGCTTGTGGCTGAGTACGAGGAATCAAACTCCCTTTGGAATTTGCTTTCTGAGCCCAGATTGGTATGGGATCATGCCTTTTGCGTTTACGTGGTATCAGTCGAGGCGTATTACTCACGTTATGCGAGGCTGTCTGCTGCAAATGTAGCTGTGGAGCGGTACTCGACGCCATGGGTGTCTTTGGCTGTTGTTGCTGGTGGCTACCGGAGAACGTACGAGAGGTTGAAGGTGAGCGTTGAGGTGTGACCCGGCGAGAGGTAGCCGCTGAATTCTGTTGTGGTACGTGAGGTGTCGACTCGCGCCGCAACTGCGGAGAGTGTTCAAGCGCACGTGTTGGAGGCGGCGGCGGAATAGCGGAGAAAGTTTGCGGCGGAGAGCGTTGCAAGATCGATTGCATTGAAGTTGGTGGTGTAACACGGGCTTGATCGTGCTCGCGACTGGCGCGTGTTATGTCCATGGACTGTGTTCTGCTTGGTACCATCGTTTTGGGGCTGACGCTCACGGTCCTTTCCCGTTCTCTCTGTGTAGTATATTCTGACCCGTTCCTCTCCGCTTGCGGACTAATATTGTCGTACACGGCCGGCGATTCTGGTACTAGAACAGGTGGCCGCCCAGATACTGGGGTATTCGACTGAGTATTGTATGAGGTGCTAGATGGTGTTCGCTGTTGATTGTATGGGCTTGCAGGTTCTCTTGATATATAGCTTGAGCTCCGCGGTAGCGAGGGTGGCGGACCGAGAGGTGTCGACGGGTGTGACTGCAGCGCGTGGTTGTATGGCGGTGGATGTGAGAATGACGACGCGGACAGAGGAGATTCTCTATGTGAGTGTGGAGTATGTCCGCGCGCGGACGCCGATGAAGGCGACTGTGAGGGATGTCCTTGGGGCGCATTGTAGCTAACTCCAGCAGTTGTTATTGGATATGGTGAGGCTGAAGGTCTATTGAAGGGCGCTGGAGGAACATGTCCCGTAGGTGTGGTCGCAGAGTATAGCTCTCTCTGGGGATATGAATGAGGATTTGGAGGGTACGGTCCGTGATTGTAGGCTGTTGTAGGAGAAGCGAAGCTATGCGGTGGTGGACGAGGATTGTGAGGAGAACTGTGGATAGGAGAGTATCTGGGCGCAGAGGACTGCGACTGTTTGGGTGTGGTATCCGTCTCTTGCGTGAGCATGGACTTGATATCCATCCTGCAAAGGATATGTACTATCCAGACGGCAAACGTCGATGGGAACAAGGCATTCCGAAAGCTCGCGAGGCGCTCGAAGTTCTGTGCCAAAGTCGCGATGCAGATCGCTTAAGTTACTCAGTCGTAAGCTGTAAGATTCGTAGGCACGGTCACCATGCTCACTCGAAGGGAATAACTTATATCTGGGTCGCGGATTTCACAATTTGCGAGAATATGTCTAGATTCGTCAACAGGAAGGGAAACGAGCTTTCTCTATAAACTGCGAAGTCATTCGTGTTTGAAGCAGTGCAATTCTTTTGACTATCTGGCGTGCATATTACACTGGATTAGTGAGAGGCCCTATATTCCTAAATACCGCTAGCGAGCCTGTAATGTAACACACAGCTTACTGCTCTAGCCTCTTCTTAGGTAGGGGGTTCTCCTACAGAGATATTAGAGCATCCGATCTTTTCCTTGGGCTATTAAAAATATCATTCCAATTAGGTAAATACATCTCCCATTATCGACATAATCATATAGAACCTAAACATCTTCATGAATGAAAGAAGCACTAAATATTCTATATGCTGTCTATCAAGCGTGGCGCTCTCCTCTATATGGGAGCCATCTCGTGGCCCCTTTCAGATCTAGACACCTTCATAATCGACGGGCATTATCCGTGGACCGAAAGCAGGAAGAAACTACGGTGACACCTTTTCACTTACTTTTTTCTTAGAGTCGTTAAGCGAAAGTCACAAGGTGAAGCGCTCTGCGTCCAGGCTCTTTCGTAGCGAGACATATGTATGTGATAAGCAAGATATTGTTTTTGTGACTGGTCATAAAAGGTGTAGTATGCTATGGTAAATGGTCTAGATGTTTGACAGCGTGATGGGGGTGATATGCTCGTCCCCTTGGTAATACCAGAGTATTAAGCAAGATTAATGATTCGTCGTTTGCCTAGAACCTAACTCTCTTAGCATTCGGATGTCGCGCTATATCTCCCCTACCTAAATTTATATAAGATAGATATATTCTAGTATTTTATTATATACTTGTCGCTAATATATTACTATTACTAATTATATATATTTAGTAGATTATTAAGGCTATCTAGTAGTTAGTATATCTATTATATAATATATTTCTAGTATTTTTAACTTATAGTTATATATAGTAGGCCTACCTAGTAAGGTATATAATATAAGTATCTATTACTAAATTAACTTTCTTCTTAAGTATAATATACCCTCTACTATTACTATAGAGAAGTCTTAAGTATCTATCTTAATAGTTAATCGTATAAGGTATAATCTTACTATATATAGCTAGCGAAATAAGTCTCTATCTATAAAGATATATAGTTATAAGACTATCCTTAGTAATTATATAATAGAATTACTATTTAAGTATCTACTCTAAGAGAGATAGCTATATCTTAATAAGATAGTAAAATAGATATATAAAGAGCTTAAGTGTTAGGCACGTAAGGAGCACGTGGCCTGCTAGTTAATTATACATGTATGTAGTAGTCGTATATAAGTAGTGTGCTCCACCCTTGAAGTAGTAGCTTCAAGATTCGGTCCTTTTAGTATAGTTGGTTGGTACGTAGAGCCCGCCTCCTTATATAAATGTAAGGATTATAGACGTAGAATAGTAGTCTAATAGATTATAGGAGGATTCGGGAATATATTTAAAAGGGTAGTCTACTCTCCTAATAAGGTTAATTTCTAAAGAGTAGGAATCAAGTATATGCGGCCTACTTATATAGTAGTCTCGCTTATTCTAGCTAACTTACCCTAGGTCCACCTATTACGGACCGTACTAGACCATAGTATTCTAGTTAAGTCTATCCTAGTATTAGCCCTAATAATATCCTTCTTCTTTTTATACTTCGCCCCGAAGTACTTAGCTATATATAAATCCGTAATTCTATAAGCGTTATATTTATATACGTATCTAATTAAATCTATATAACATTATTAATAGTCTTTATATTAGTAAACTTAAGCTCTAGTTTACTTTTATTTATATA